TTCAGCCTGGAGGATGAGGTCAGCTTCCAGACCGTGTACCACTACTACAGCCGCATGGCCAACTATCGCAACACGAGCGAGATCCCCATGGTCCTGGTGGGGACACAGGGTAAGGGCAGCCTGCATTCCCAGGGCTGCTTTTCTGACCACAGAGGCTCCTTTTTGGCAGGGCCGGGGCATCGTGAGAGGGCTGGTTTGAGGTGGGAGACAAATGTCCCGGCTGCACTCTGGGAGACGGGGTGTGGGGCTTCAGCAGGGATGAGAGAGGGGGGGGATTTAGGTCAGATATTGGAAGGAATTCTTCCCTGGGAGGGTGGGGAGGCCCTGGCACAGGTTGCCCAGAGAAGCTGTGGCTGCCCCTGGATCCCTGGAAGTGTCCAAGGCCAGGTTGGAGCACCCTGGGCTGGTGGAAGGTGTCCCTGCCTGTAGCAGGGGGTGGGACTGGATGAGATTTAAGGTCCCTTCCAACCCAAGCTGTTCCACGATGTTATGACTTACAAGGAGATTTTAAATAGTATTTTCAGTGCTTGCTGGTGACAGTGGTTTTCATGCTCAGCAGGGAGATGCTCGTGTTGAATTTGGGCAGGTGCATCAGTTGTGTAACGAAGGTCTGAAGTCCAGTTTCCCTGTGCTTGGCAGTCTAGAAGTGTTCAGCACCTTGGCATTGCTAAGAGGCAAACAGGCCAGGGGTGGAAAACCTCCAGCAGCACGTTGGGAAGCAGAACTGAACCGTGTCCCCATGCAGTGCCTCCAGGAGGCCTCTGCGTATCAAACACAAATGCAGCTTTTTTTGCCACCTGAGACACGCCCTCCCCCAGTTTTTTCCTAAATTTTTTCTGGAGCAGCAGCAGCTGCTAACCACAGCTGTCCTACAGGGAAATGTGGTGTGGGAGTGGTACTTAATAATCTTTCAGTATCTTTGGCATTTGAGTTGTCTCTGCCTTGCTTTGCCAGCGCATCCCTTACTATATCACCAGTTTCCCGCGCTGTGGTTGGCTTGCTGCGTGGAGTAGACACTCAGGAGTTGATCACAGAATCATGGAATTACTAGGGTTGGAAAAGCCCACTAAGATCATTGAGTCCAACCCTTAACCCAGCACTGCCAAGGCCACCGCTAACCTGTGTCCCCAAGTGCCACGCCCGCATGTTTGTTGATCACCTCCAGGGGACGGAGCTTGTGCCAGAGATCAACAACCCTTTCGGTGAAATAATTCCCCTGATATCCAACCTGAACCTCCCCTGGCACAGCCTGAGGCAGATTCCTCTCATCCTGTTCCTTGGGAGCAGAGCCTGACCCCCACCTGTCTCCACCCAGCTCCTCGCTCCCGCTGGAAGATCCTTCCCAGTGTGTCATCGAGTTGCTGTGCTGTGTTAGAGGGAGAACAACACAAGTGCCAGGAGTTGTTCTGGTGTGCTCAGCTCTGGCCAGCTTCCTCTCTGCTCTGTGCCAGTTGGGTTTGGCGGTGGGGAAGCCTTTTTGCTGCTTTCTCAGCTCATTTTCAGCCAGCCCTGTGGTCGGGGAGCGGTTTGCCTTGCCCTGCCTCCCGCGGAGCGGGGACGGCCTGGAGGGAGCAATCCCAACCCAGCTGTAGGGTGGAAACAGATGATGGGAAGTGAAAGGGGAAGCGGGGACACAAAAAGCAGCCTCAGGACGGCAGAACCCACGGCAAAAAGCAGAAAGCAGCTGCTTTGAAGGGCTGCGCTGTCGGCTTGGAACTGGAGCTGAAAAGGCGAGGGAGAAACGTTTCTCTTGAGCTGTTTTGTGCCCTGCTGACACCTTGGGGGATGGTTTCCCATCTCCTTCCCGTTATTACCAGAAAGGAATTTGTGGTCTGGTTTTTTTTTTGTTTTTTTTTT